TTGGAGGTGCCACGGCTAGTTCTAATATTTCCAACTCAAATTTAATAACCTGGCCTTCATAAAATACCACTTCTCATTACTGTAGCAAATGCTTCAAGAGAGCTTTAGATTATAAGGCCGAACCCGGCTCTCCCTTTTCCATTTAATGAAATTTATTCTGTCTTCCACAAACACTTCCAGGGATATGTGGCAAGAAAAAGTAAATTTGTACTGGAAGTGCCACGCCCCTTTTTCTTATAAAACTAATCTTCTTCCATGAATTTAGAATTGATTTTACTTACCCCAGTACCAAGTCCCAGTACTCTACCATGAACACCTCTAGAGATAAACAGTAAGAGTAAGTAAGATTTGTACGGCAGGAACCATGTCCCCTTTTCGAATAACGCAAATTCTTCTCTTTGAGTATGGAATTAATTTTGTATACACATCTCGGTGCCAAGTTCCAGTCCTCTGCAATAAACACCTCCAGAGATATGCAGCATAGAAAAATCAATTTGCATGGTTGTTGCCACACCGCCTTTTCCAATAACTCTCATTTCTCCATGAGTATGGTATTAGTTTCACATATATACATGCATACATATGTATTTCCATACCAACCTTGAGTGCTTTACCCCAAACATTTGAAGAGATATGCAATATGAAACTTTCATTCAGTATGGGAGGTGCTACGCCTCTTTTCCAAAAACGTCCATTTTTCTCCGTGCATATGAACATGATTTCACACAGTGTTGGCAAACTGTTAATCTGATTAACGATTAAAAATTAACGATTAAAATGTTAATCGCATTTGTTGATTAAAATTAATTAGTCGTAATCAACTGTACGATTAATGATAACATTTTTTTAAAAGTTAATCGCTGGCTGCGATTACGTTTAATTAATTTAAAATATTAATCGTTAATCCAATTAAAAATAAAATCTGATTAATTTGTCTAGTTTGTCCGAGTTTGAAACCAAACACCAGTTATAGTAATTATTTTGTGTTTTACGCTTATAAAAAGCACGTAATATAAGAAAATAATAATTATTGTTATTAGTAATACATAAACTGGGAACTTTTACAAACCTAGTTTGCAAAACGTTTGTTGGTATATTTCTTAATGAAAATGCACACCAGATTGCTTAGATTGATGAGGAAACCCGACTTGGCCATACCGGATTAACTTGCTTTGTGTGCACAGGGAAATTCCAGCATAACTTAATTAATCACCAAACTTACTTGATCAAATTAAGAGTTAATGATTAAAAAATAATTTTTTAATCGCGGTTACCATTAACTGTTTAGTCGGATTAAAATTAATCATGATTAACTGTAATCAGAATCGAATTTAATCGAATTAACTAACTAATTAAAACATCAATCGATTAATGCCAACATTGATTTCACATACATATCACTATACCAAATCTGTTCAGTCGTTTCCGCGTATTAATTTAATTAAAACTTTTTTAACAGGTGGCAACTCTTCCAAAAAGTTAGCCTATTTTCCACTGTAGGTCATAAGATATCTGCTTGCAAAATTTCATGCAAATCCGTTCAGGCTTCTCCGCGTATTAATTTAATTAAACTTTTTTAGCAGGTGGTAACTCTTAAAAAAGTAGCCTATTTTTCAACCTAGCTCATAAGCTATCTGTGTAAAAACTTCCATGTAAATCAGTTCACTCATTTCCGCGTATTAATTAAATTAAACATTTCTAACAGGTGGCAACTCTTAAAAAGGTAGCCTACTTTCTAACCTAGGTCATAAGCTATCTGTGTGCAAAATTTCATGCAAATCCGTTTAGTCTATTCCGCGTATTAATGTAACTAAACTTTTTTAACAGGTGGCAACTCTTCCAAAAAATTAACCTATTTTCCACTGTAGGTCATAAGCTATCTGCTTGCAAAATTTCATGCAAATCCATTTAGTCGTTTCCGCGTATTAATTTAATGAAACTTTTTAAACAGGTGGCAACTCTTAAGAAAAGTAGCCTGTTTTCCAACCTAGGTTATAAGCTATCTGTGTGCAAATTTTCATGCAAATCCATTCAGTCGTTCCCGCATATTAAATAAATGAAACTTTTTTAACAGGTGGCAACTCTTAAACAATTAGCCTATTAACCAATCTGGCCCATAAGCTATCTGCGTACAAAATTTCATGCAAATCCATGTAGTCGTTTCCGCCTGATGATTTCCCAAACATCCAAACATACAAACTTTCACATTTATAATATTTATAAGATTATCACTTGTTTTTTTTCAGTAAAATACACCAGGTAAAAAAAAAACAAAAAAATATTCGGCAACAAAAAATTAAAAATTAACTACAGAAAAAACTATTTAAACTAAACCGGACCACTGAACAAAGTTGGAGAAAACAAAGTCAAACTACAAAAAAACTAAGTGCGTTTAGCACTACCTCGCCGTGTAACCACAAAACTCCGGAGGACGTGACGCGAAGTCTCGGAGAAGCCTTCGGTTGCTGACCAAGAGGACCAATCCGAACCAGCACACTCAACTCCAGTTATCCCGCCGCAACGCATCAAGGGGCAACAAAGTCAGGACCAGTCAACCTGACCAGACCTCAGGCTACCCCGTTGGACGTCATTATGTTATGAGAGCAGTAGTTAGTGCAGGCGGCATGACACAATGGGGTGCACTGTGGCTAGTCATGTCGGCTGGGCGGGGTTCTTGCCTCACTACTGTTCTCTGCGCCATAGCAGAGAAACAGTCATGCATGGTCAAACATCCCAACGAACGGACACACAACAATTCAAAATTCAAAAATTCAAAGAAATCCGTTGCAAAACAAACAAAAAAGCTGGAAAAAAAGAACGTTAAATACATTTAAATTAAACTGAAAATCAAGAACTCAAAAATGTAACCAACTACGAAAAAAAAAACCTACGGCCGAATATGAGGCACCATCGCTGGTATTTTGGTACCTGGTGCTGGCCCACTCTCACCATGGCTACTGGCGCATCCTAATATCAGTAGTCGCATTATAAAAGTCTTTAGCGTGCCTTCCTGTATAACTAAAAGAGTCAGTATTCCCATTATATCAGTACAATTTATTCATTTTCTTAGCCTAAATTAATCCTAATCCTTACAGATAAAAGTTCGTAACCCTATCATCTAAACTTAGTAAATGTGTGTGTGATCTATGTACGTTAATGGTAAGTATAAAGTAATGGTAGGTAAGTATTGAAATTCATTTAAATCAAGTTTCGGGTATTTAAAAAAAAAAAAAAAACAAGTGTATATTAAGTACTGCAGGTACGAGAATTTTTTTTGACTAAGGTAAGTAATAAAAAAAACAAGAAGTTAAATTAGCCCCCTTATTCTAGAACCCGAATTTTCGTTATACGTAATTCGTAGCTACGCTACGAAAAACGAAAAATCCACATGCTGCACCCCTTGCGGAAACATGTGCAGCATTGCCAGCTACCAGTTGTTTTTCGAAGATAGCTGAATGAAGGAAAACAAAGTGGAAAGGAATTAAAAAAAACACTCATCATGTGCTTGTTTATTGTAAAATTGGTTCATTATACATATTTTGAGGAAAATTATGGATTCTGATGTATTTGCAATTATAGCAGCAGAGTAAGCGGGCGCTATGGCAATGGATTCACAAAGGTATGCGGAGCTGTCGGGCATAGTAACCGTGGGCACATCTATGTCAGCTTCTGGTTGAAATGTTGAACCACAAGCCAGAACTCCTCCTATGCCTGAAGCTCTGGTTCTCAATCCAGTTAATGCAATAACAGCTACCTTCGGCCGCGCTTAGGGATTATAACCCTTACTAAGTAGAATTCTCCTTTTTGTGTTGCGGGGAAGAGGGGCTTCCGCATGTCAAAGGTATACAACATTTCTTGTGCATATCCTCCGGCTACGCCGTCCACAGTATTTTTGCGCAGAACCCACGTCGAAATTTGCAGAAAAGTGCATAGTGAAAACCGAGTTTATTAATAAGCTAGTGGTAGGAAATTTGAAATATTTGTCTTAAATAAAATGTGAAACCTTTGATTACACGTGTATGTTAAAGTTTTTGGATTCAGGTTATGCGTTTGGACACAACAACCGAAAATCGTTGTACATTAACTAAACCGGACCGAAGTTTCTCGATAAGGGGCAACAAATATTCTTTTTTGCTCGTTTATATAGAGCAGTGGATAAAAATATACGTATATGCGAAAGGCAAATTTATCTGTTTAAATTAACACCACCAATATTTCTTGCAAACACACATCGATTTGCTTCTTTTATTTCGCCTCCGACACAGAATTGTTTTCGTACAAAATTACGCAAAAAAGCTTACTCGTTCGATTTTAGGCATGTCATTGGTACGAATTTCGAAAGTTCGAAAATACGATTCGGATTGCAGCATACTATTTCTACGATTCGTAGCAAAATCCGAATACGAAAGAGTTGCAGAATAGGGGTGTAAGACAAATCTCTAGTATACGGTGAGGGACATATTTAATACAGCTGGATTCTAAATATTCCCGTGGAGTTCTCTTTTTGAGGATTTTATTTTTTCTCGGGAAAAAATCATCCTTCGGGAGTAGGAAATTCGAACTTCGAAACAGCTGTTTCATACATTTTTGACAGTTCTCGCGGGCGGAAATTATCGTAAAAGCTTTTTATTTTCAGTAAAAGTTTAAAGATTTGCGAAAAAACAGGAAAAAAGTCCAGAACCATGCACACTATAGCTTTCCGAATAGTTGCAGAGGCAGAAGCAGCTGAATTGGAGGATAATATTCTGCCACAAAGAGCTGTAAGGAGACATTTGCGTGATAAGACAAATCCGCTCGAGTTTCCGCAATCCTTGTGAGTTCAACAACCTTTTTTTATTAGTGTTTGCATATTTTTTTCATTTTTATAGATTTGATATTTTACTTATCTTCAAATTGTGCACCAGACGTTTATTCACACTTTTTTTTTTAATTTTTTACTTTATTAAGCATAAGCACCACACAAAATTTAAACAGAGCACAAAAAAGCACAGCTTCACAGCTTTGACGTTTGCGTAGATATCGAGAAGTACTATAGAGTAAATAAAGCTGCTTTCAAATATTTACTCCACGTCTTGGTGTTGCACACGCAGCAAAGGAAAAAGCTATTTGGTGTTTCGGTTATTATTAAACTTAGCGCATCTTTGCCCTTTTTCGCTGAAGGTGGATACCAAACAGGAATCGTGAAAGATGTAGACGTCTCTCTGACTCAATCAACCTTCAGCAAAGTTCTCGAAGAAGTTCTGGAAGTTTTCGAAACTCATTTATGTCTAAAGTGGATCAAAGTGTGTAAAGCTGAAGAGATTATACTTGTAGGTTACTTTGATTATAATTTGCAAAACGTATTTAACTAATTTAAACTTATCTATAGATGTGTGATCATGAGCTTCGAATTCAATATGTAGACGCCTCGCATCCTGGTGCTTCTCACGACTCCTTTATGTGGAACATCAGTGCATTAAGAATACACTTCGAATACGAGTATTTGCGGAATTCAGCAAATTTTTGTATTCTAGGTAAGTGTAGTGAATGTGAAATTAGACCGCAAATTATTTTACCCAAATTTCTTCGTATAGGAGATGCCGGCTGTCCATTGGAGCCATGGCCTTTGACGACCTACAGATCACCAGGAGATGATTCGTCGGAAATGAAGTTCAACGAAGGTCACTCGCAATGCCGCAATATTATAGAACGAGCTAACGGAGTATTGAAAAACCGATGGAGGTGTATTCTTGGAGCAAGGGAGTTACATTACACTCCAAAAAAAGCAGCGAAGATTGTAAATGTGTGTTGCGCGCTACACAACATATGTGTATATTTTAAATCATCCTTAACCATAATCGAAGAAACAACAGAAGTTTTCACCCAATATAATGAGAACGCTGAAGTCATATCACTGGTCACGCCCCCCTACTTAATTGTAGCAAAAAGCATTAGAAACAAAATTGCAAGCTCTCTATAAAATAACCTCTGTTAATTTTTAACAAACATATATTTTCCAATAAAACGAAAAAAATCACTTTCTTAGTAATCGTAAATACTAATGTCCTTATTCATAAACAAATAGGTTTAAAGAGCTTTATTAAGAGACATTTTCATATAAATTTTCGATTTATAAAGCAATTTAAGTCTTCTTTATTTTTTATGAAATTGGGAATAAGTATTTACATAAGAAATCAATCTTGCAAACTTTGTGAACAATTCGTTGAATTTCAAAAAAGTAAATTTGAAACTTTTTAATCAGAACTTTAAGAATTTTATTGGAGTATGCAGTTTTGTAGATGATTCTATTTCAGTATAGTAATGTGTAGTCATTACGTGAACAGGACTTATCGTCCATTTTTGGCAATTTTAACGCACGAACCAAATTTATTTTGTCAAAAATTAACGATAAGTCCTAGTCACTTAAAGCCTACACATTACTATACTGAAATATAATGAGCTACAAAACTGCATACTCAAAAAAAAGATCTAAAGTTTGAAAAGTTTATAATTTTTTGAAATTCGATGAACTGTTGCGAATTTTGTACAAAGTGTGCAAGATTGATAGTTATTGCTATAGAATGAGCTATATTTTAATAGAAAATTAATGAATACTTCTGTAAGTAACGGTATGCGCATTCTCGTAACAAAAAAATCAGCCTTCTATAATAAAATCACATTTCATTGCATCAAAACTGTTAAAAGACTATCAAAACTATTAAAAGATTAACAGTTTTGTTATTTAGTTGCATATTTGGGTTGTTCCTTTAATTCCTCTATCTCCCGCAGCAATAGATTTCCCTCTAGTCCTCGATTTCCCTGAGTCTAAGCCTTTCCATAGTTACATTAAGGCGTTTAAGCTCAGAAGATTTTATTTTTTCCATCGTTTTAAAATGTTGTTTTTGGACAACATACAAGCTGTCAAGCGTCCGATATAACTTCTTCACGCTTCGCTCTTGCTCAATCATACCGTTTTTTAATATATTACACATTTCGCGCTGAATATTAAGCTCTTCGGCTAACACACCAGAAGCATGGCTTTGTTGCTTTGGCACCTCCTTTCGCACAGGTGTAGGCTTAAAAAATTTCACTGAACTATGCTCGTTTTCGCCAATACCACATATTTCAATTTCCTCCTCTATTTCTTCAAATGCTTCATTTCGTGTAGTTATTGTTTCCTGTCGTTGCGGTAGTTTTTCTTCTCGTTCAGGTAGTGTTTCTTCTCGTTGTGGTAGTGGTTCTTCTGTTTCGTCTGTCTCAACCACGTCCAATCCAAAGGGCTTCGCCACACCTATCAACGATTCTTTCATTCCAATCAATTCAAATATCGGACTCTCGGTGGCCTTTTCTTTGCCTGCTATTGTTGGCTGCTTTCTGCCGGACGTATTTTTTCTGATCTGAACAAACCTGAGATATTGGACATTAATAAATTTATTTGAACAAAGTATAGTCAGCATAAGTAGTTCTTTTATCCACTCTGCAACATTTTTAGATGGTGGGCCAGCCGAATTCAGTTCAGCTTCAGCTCTGCTCCAAAATCTGTTTAAGTCCTCCTTGCTGCGCAATGCCAGGATTACCTTGCATAGGGTTTATAAATATCACAAATTGGGTCTTGTTTGTAGTTTTTGATCTAAAAAAATGTTTAACATTGTTTTCTATTAAAAAGTTCGCAAATACTTACATTTTTGTGTACGGCTCCCTCACACTTTTCCGGCGGAAACTTTATTTAAAACTGTCATCACATTCTCCCTTTGATTTGCATTCGTGTTAGCTACTTTTTCCCCGAAATACATTTTCCCTTTTTCGAAGTTCGTTTAGAATAGGAGGAAAGGGGGAAAAAAAAAATTCTCTGGGAATTTTTAATTATGATAGGAGGAAAGGAAAAAGATAGAAAATTCCCGGGGAGTTCCTATTCAGAATCGGGCTGATAATTTATTATTAAAATATTATTATTATTTTTTCTATATATATGTACATTTTTTTGTAGCTAGCGAATTCGTTTTCTTTCTATATTATCCTAATATTATCTAACGATTTATTTACTTTAATTTTGTTTTATTATGTTGTGGCCATTTCTTTATTATATGATTTATGTTTTTCTTTTAGGTTTTGTTAGCGTAGGTATTCAGTCCAGGGTTGGTTTTTTTATGGTTTTGAATTTATTTTATTTATTTAAGTAAAGTTAAGTTGATTTAATTTAATTTAGTTTTTTTTATTTAATTAAGTTTTACTTTTATTTATTACTTAATGTAATTTCATTTGATTTCGTTTCATTCAACTCCATTTGATTATAATTTATATTAGTATATTTTAAATGCGATTCATTTTACTCCGCGGTTATATTTATTTGTTTATTTAAAAATATAGTTTATTTTATTAAGCTTGACTTAATTTGATAAAATTTATTTGATTTAATTGAACGTTATTGAATTTTATTTTATTTTATTTTAATTAATTTTATTTTATTCCATTTAATCTAAGTCAATCAATCCTAACTTGTTACGTTTACTCTCTATTCTGTTAAATCCCCGCGTTTTCTTACGTTTATTTACACTGATCTTATTTTAAATCTTCAGTATCCTTATTCTGAGTAAATATATATATATGCCTTTTGATACGCTATTAGTCCTTAGTTAGCCTTCACTTAGAAATTTTAGTTGTTTACTACTACTAAATTTTTTTTCAGGTTTTGTTTCGTTTACATTTTGGTTTACTCCAAGTTTTTTTTTTAGTGTATCTAATTTGCTTTCTTAGCACAATTTAATTCTACTACATATTTCTTCTTTTTTTATTTTGTTTTTCTTGAATGAACAAGCTCCTTATAATAAGCTACATATACCAACTTCCCTTAGTTGGGACTCACCCGCCGTTGGAGCAGGCTTGTGTGTGGTACTGCTGTTGTTGTAGTCGCTTCTAGTGTCGTTGTTGGTGGTTGTTATAGCTGGTAGTTGTTAGAGCTGGTGGTTGTGCGCGTTGTTGTAGACTGTCGCGCTTTGTTGTTGCTGTAGCGCGTGTTGCACCCGCTTCTATGGCGGCGTCATTGCTGCAGTCGCGCGTTGTTGTTGTCGCGCGTTGTTTTGCTATCGCGCGTCGTTGTCGTGGCTGTTACTTTAGCGCGTTGTTGGTTTCGGGCGTTGTTGTCATCGTTGCACTAGCCGCTGCTATAGCGGCGTTGTTGTCGCTCCTGTGGTGACCGCTGCTTTGGCGGTTGTCGTTGTTATAGTCGCGCGTTGTTGAACCCGCTGCTGAGGCGGGGTGTTGCTGTCGCGCGTCGTTGATGTCGTGCTTTGTTGCTG